TACTGACAGTCAAAAACAAGACTTCCATAAAACCCCTTCGGCACAACGCTCTACAGGATGTAATGGCGAATAACAGCATAAAGTACTGTTTAGCTACATGCAAGACAAAAACAATGTCGTCAGTTCGATGATCGACCCTTATCGACCTTTCAGCCAGTTCCTTCAAGATAAGGATTTTGGTTGACTGGCCGGAAGACCTTCTGTCATTCGTAGCAGCAGGTACATGTGGAGCCCAAAAGCAACAATTGTTCTCAGTTGCTGGTTCAATAGCTTTTTGTTGAAGTGGGCAACGAAGATCATCCAATCAGAGTAGAGATCGCGTCATTTGTTACGGTTGATGTTGTCGCAGGATTGGGCAATTCACCAAACTATTACGTAATTTCTCAACATATCGTTCTGATGTCTTCTTTTGATAGGCTCATTAAAACGCCTAATTCTGCAGCCATAGACCGCGATTTTCTGCTCAAGAAATGCTGGCAGGGGGTCCTCTGGCACATTCGCAGTCCTCAAAAATACCTTATAAATTTTGAGACAACCTTTTTCAACTTGAAATTATTCAAAAACATGATGAAGATCCCAATCTCGGTACGCGGTTGTCTGCCTCACATCTAACCACCTCTTCTATGGAAAAATTTGCAGTGTTTTGTTTCGTCTGATCGAGTATGGTTCCTTGTTTTGAGTTAACCTAATATGCTAGCTTAAGACAGTACAAACTGCAAGTGCGGCTGTGTGGATCAGGTGAAACGTTTCTTCCAAATTCTCACTGCCTCGGATATTTCCTGCCGATTCTGTCGCGGCTATGGAAGCCCGGATGAGAAAGGAGGAGCATTTGGAGCCATAGTAAGGTCTCACATATTACTCTGCTACCTCCCCATCATCGTATTGCCTCAATCGAACTTATTATCAGATCAGTCATCAAACGGGTTACCAAGGACCGCGCATGTTATTGGGGAACAGAGAACCATCAAAAACTGCTTCTCGTCTGCTGGCAGCTAGGAGCGTAGCAGCACCGCGACAAGAAGAAAACGAAGAAACCAGTTATTAACGGAGCTGTTATTGGCTCTGAACGGAGGAGACAGACAGTGCAATGCCACTATAACACGTCAAATGAGGTTCCACGGAATCAATATCGGCAGTGGGAGCTCACATTC